TCATCAATAGGTTTGACACAATTTGACGACCGACTGGGGGCTGACACCCTTAAAAGCCATGGCACACTCACCTTGCTCACTGGCACGGTGTTTATCATTGGCGAAGTGGCTGGAGGTATGTTACATGAATATTTCACATGACATTCATAAACAATAAAAACAAAATCTTATCTAAAATGTATAATTCGCGTACTATTAGGCGGTATATTATCTCTACCACACGCTGTCTCTCAGGCAGGTATGCAATCAGCGATTAAAATGTTTTATTAAACATTATTTCAATTGAAAACATTTTTAAAAATTATAAAATCTTAATTTACCTAAAGGTTGGTTCGGATTACCATTAATAGCCATATGCTGTGCGAACGCCGGTATTGCCGGTATATGTCTCGCAAAATCATGGCTAATATTAGAGGAACGGTACCCGGAATACAAGGTCGGGCTAACACGAAAACCATTTGCTACAATCGGGTACAGAGCGTATGGAAATTGGGCCAGGTATATGAATAACATACTAGCTACTTAATGATCAACTAACTGACATACATGTACTTCAACAAAAATAGTGTTGCAGTATCCGTGGCTATGAATATCACCCGATTCGGCACCAGTACTGTGTTTCTACTTCTAGTATCCAGTCTACTAAAGGGGGTGTTCACGGGTCTGAACGCCGCTAAAGTCATGAATTTAGGGGTTTGTTCGTGGGTTCCGATAGTAGGCATAACCCTCACACCATTCATGTGGTTGGGATCGCCGGCTGATTTTTGGCCCGCGGCCTATACAGCCATGATATCCACTGTTTTGGGATCAGTATTACTATTGATTAGTATAGGGATGGACTCCAAGAATCGTGCGAAAGATGCCGTCTATGCGATGCCTACTTTTGTCAACTTTTTCAAGGCTTTCGGGAATATTCTGTTCTCTTTCGGAGGTATGTCTTTACGGGTATTTCAAAGCAAACAAAAATCTAATATCTGTCCCCATACGTCAGGCGCCAGTGCTTTCCCTAACTTTCAAAATGATATGAAAAATAAGGAGGAGTTCCCCAGAGCTGTCACTTTTGGCTTCATAGGTATTGTTAGACAGAAAACTACATTACTTATTATCATTACTTAAATAATAATTCATTTATAGGTCTCCTAATGCTATACATACCGGTGTCGGGTGGCGGGTATGGTGTCTATGGAACTAGTGTTCACCCGAGCATTATAGAGGACTTACCTGCCAATGGGTTGACCACAACAATTCAGATCATGTTTTTAATTCACTGTTACTTCGCTTTCCTGATTATAATAAATCCGGTTTTACTCGAAATCGAGGAATTGCTGAATATTCCTAAACGTAAGCATCGACTCGTATTTCTGGTACAGAATATTCTCACCAAAACTCTTATGCTATAAAACTATTCACAAAATAGACTTCAATTGGAAGAGGTGTGCGTTTCGTACGATACTAATGGCGGCGATGGTGTTCACGGGGATGTCGGTGCCCACGTTTGGCGACATTATAGATCTGATTGGGGGAACGACTGTCACGCTCATGGCGTTCGTAATGCCTCCCGCTTTCTATTTCAAGCTGTGCTCCGATGATGGAGGCGGCGCCTGGACTAAGAAGTAAGCCTACATTAGTAACATATACCTGACCCCATGGCTGATCCCATATATATTATTGGGTTTAAGTGTGTTTCTATGATAACTAATGTATTGTTTGCTATGTTTTGCAGAGAGATTCCCCTCTATATGAAGATAATTCTCATCCAAATCGCTATACTTGGACTGATTGGTGGCATCGCATCCACCTATTCATCCATCGCTTCATTCATAGACCCCGACACCAGTCTAGAGCCGGCCTGTTATGTCCGACACACCAATAATACATACTTTTATAGGTCATAATGAATTTTGTTGTAGATTTTATTTTAATTTTTAATTTTCCTTGATTATGTACTTAACACACAAGTATTATTTATATCGATACTTAGATTTTATAATTATTTTATTGGATTCCATGTATTATACATTAAATTATAAATAAATATTATGATCAACTATTTATTTTAAACATAGATAACTTATCATTTGAATTCAAATCTATAACTTTTTACAAAACTTAAAAAATATATCACTTTTAAAGATTTAATACTTTAAATACCCGGTCCTTCAATCTTATAATTACAGAGTATTTTAATATGCATTTAATTCATGCATGTATTCAATTAGTAATTATTTTATTGCTATTTATGTTTTTATTTGTAATTTTAATTATAAATTATTAATTTAATTATTTTTGGTTTTAAAATTTGCTAAATTAATAAATTTAGTTGCAAACTAGTTATAATTCTTTAAATGTTTGTTTATTCATTGAATTTCATTATTTTGTGATCAAGGCCGAAAGTACTCGAGTTTTAAGATCTAATAAATACCATTACTATACTATCACTACCAATACCATCACTAATTCAATAGAGTTATTTAGTTTCATATTTAATGTTTTCAAGTTATTTATGTATTAACATTAAGAAAAGTTCTTGATAGATAGTTTTTTGTTT